CTCCCCTGCAGGCCTGGTCCCTCCCAACTGCCCTCCCCTGCTGGCCTGATCGCCCACAACTGCCCTCCCCTGCTGGCCGTCTTGTGTTGGGGTGATGGTCAATTTGCATATTACCTCTTTATTAGATAGGATATGCACATATATGGACATACTTCAAATATGAATAAAGATGTTTTATAATAGGATCTCAAATTATATATTCATAAAATTTATACTTTTATGTATGAATATATATATATATATATATATATATATATATATATATATATATATATATATATCTTATTCCCACTAAAGTAGGCAAATCATAAGTGCATAGCTTCCTCTTCTAATCAGCTAGGGTGAGGGGCTGATCAAAGCAATCCAATCAGAGATTGGACTGGGTCAAGTCTGAATTGTAGTTTTAGTAATCCATATCTAATTTGTTCATTTCTAATTTTTCCCAGTTTCTCAAGATGTGATGCTGACAGGTCTCTATCTTCTCAACCATGAAAGACTATGGGAAACTCAGTTACACTCTTTGGAAGATTTGAGCTTAATTCTTTATCTTCTACCATCTACAGACTCAAATGGGTGGTGGTGGGGGTGGGGTGTTGACTGTGTATTTGAGGAAGTTCCATTCTCTCTACTATGACTTTGTTTCTTAAGTTTATGAGAGATTTCATTTAGTGTAACAGTGTTATTTAAAGTGGACTTAGGGTAGTTGTAAATTGGTTCACTACAAACTCTAAGGCAACCAAAGAAAAGTTAAAAAGAAGTATAATTTATATACTAAGAGAGGAGAGAAAATATAACCATATAAAATGCTCAAATAAAACCAGAGGAGGGGGGGAGAGAGAGAAAGGAAGGAAGGAAGGAAAGAAGGAAGGAAGGAAGGAAGGAAGGAAGGAAGGAAGGAAGGAAGGAAGGAAGGAAGGAAGGAAGGAAGGAAGGAAGGAAGGAAGGAAGGAAGGAAGGAAGGAAGGAAGGAAGGAAGGAAGGAAGGAAGGAAGGAAGGAAGGAAGGAAGGAAGGAAGGAAGGAAGGAAGGAAAGAAAGGAAAGAAAGAAAGAAAGAAAGAAAGAAAGAAAGAAAGAAAGAAAGAAAGAAAGAAAGAAAGAAAGAAAGAAAACAAGGACAACAAATACCCTTAGGCAATACTGTTAGGAAATGGTAGATCAAACTATATCAATAATCACTTTAACTGTCAATGGTCTAAACATACCAATTAAAAGACAGAGACTGTCAGAGTGGATAAAAAAAATAAGACCGAACTATATGTTGTCGACAAAAACTCACTTTAAATATAAAGGCAAACTGGTTAAAAGCAAAGGGATGGAGAAAGATTTAGCACTTTAACACCAATCAAATGAAAGCTAAGCAACTATATTAATTTCAGGCAAAGCTGAATTCAGAGCAAAGAAAATTATCAGCAATAAAGAAGAATATTACATGATGATAAAGTGGTCAATTTTCTAAGAAGGCATAACAATCCCTAATGTATATTTGTCTAACAACAGAACATCAAAATATGTAAGGCAAAAACGGACAGAACTTCAAGGACAACTAGAGGAATCACTATTATCGTTGGAGACTTCAAACCCCTCCATCAGTAATTGACAGATTCAGCAGACAGAAATTAATAAGGCCATAATTAAACAATGCAGCACCATCAATATCTGGATCGACATTTATTGAATGCTTCATGCAACAATAGCAGAATATACATTCTTCTCAAGCTCACATGGGACATTTACCAAGATACAACACTTTCTGGGCCATAAAAACACACCTTAACAAAGATAAAAGAATAGAAATCATATCAAGTAAGCTCTCAGGACCCAGTGGAATTAGACTAGAAATCAGCCCTGGCTGGTATGGCTCATTTGGTTGAGCATTGTTCAATGAACCAAAAGGTGGCAGGTTCCATTCCCAGACAGGGTACCTTCTGGGTTGCAAGCTCGATCTCCTGTGGGGACGGGCGGGGGGGAGGGGGGTGGAAGCAGGGATGTGTAGGAAGCAACCCATCAATGTTTCACTCTCGCATTGATGTTTCTCTCCCTTTCTCTCCCTCTCTCTCCTTCTCCCTTCCTCTCACTCTAAAATCAATAAAAACATATTTTTAAAAAAATAAATGAAAAAAAAACTAGAAATTAGTTACTCTAAAATCAATAAAAACATATTTTTTAAAAAATAAATGGAAAAAAACTAGAAATTAGTTGCAAAAGGATAGATGAAAAGCTCCCAAAGTTGGAAATTAAACAATACACTTCTAAATAACAAATGGGT